AACCTGGGTATGTGCCCTGACCAGGAATCGAACCTCTGTCCGGGGCAGAAATATAATACTGGGGACCAGCTACTAGTTATAAGAAATGAAATAAGAACTATTAATCATGCTCTGTTAACCAGGATGGTTCTGGTCTGATTCGGGCAAGCACATTCTAACCTGGCTGAGAGTTGCATGCTCTGGGACCCGCATGCTCTGGGACCTGAGCACTGACAGCAGAATGCAGCCCATCCTTCTTTCCCCAACGGCCTATCATTATGGAAATGGCCCAAACAATCTAGTCCTGGAGGCACCTGCTCTTTACAACCCAGCCTGTAATCTGGTCCTTCGACACCCCCCTCCCCCCACAGACCACACGATTTGTAACCTGAGGTGATTAAACCGTGCCCATTTCCCCAGGCCTGTAATTCCGACTTTCCCACGTAATCTCTGTCCTTCTACCCATATAAGCATCTGGTTTATGGGGGAGGGGGAGAGCAGATTTTTGTAGGTGACCTACTGCTCTCCCATACCGAAGGCATTATCGGAATAAATGCTCATACAGGATTCAACCCCATCTGCTTAATTGGCTCAAGTAGTGTGATGGGCAGCTTGGACCCACTGGTTGTCCGGTTTCACTGGACCTCCTGGTTGATGGATCAACGCTCAGCCACTGCCAGGCTATGCATTTTACTTCTTATCCAATCCCAGAGGTTTCCCTGCGTTACTTTCCCCCACCTCCCGAATCTATCACCAATGGATTTCATGATGTAACTCTCTTACATCTCCCCCTTTTATTTTGATGTATAAAATCAGTGGTAAAACTGCCATTTTCCGGAACATTTTGTTTTATCCGTTGAGATTTTGCTTCCCAGCAATTGTCTTCAGTTTGGCTCAAATAAACTCATAAAAATTGTCTACAGATTTGAACACGGACAGTTCTTACAAATCAATAAAAAAGACAAAACCCTCCAAAATAGGCTATAAATAGCACTTCATAAAGGAAGATATAGGATTGGCCAATAAACAAAGATAAACTTTCCACATCATTTGTCATGAGGAAATGCAAACTAAAGTCACTCTGGGCTGCCACCACACACCCACCAAAATGGCTAAAATGAAAAAGACTAACACCACCAAATGCTGACAAGGATGTGGATGGGGCAACTGGAACTTCATACATTGCTGGCTGGAGTGTAAAATGGCAGAACTGCGTTGGAAAACTGGTTGGCACTTGCCTACAAAGTAAACATACATCTATCTACTCAATGACCAGCAATTCCGTATCTAGGTATTTACTCAAGAGAAATAAAAACATATACGTCCACAAAAAGTCTCGTGCAAGAATATTCAGAGCGGCTTTATCCATAACAGCCCCAAACTGGAAACGATCCAAATGTCCATTGTCTGGCAAATGGATAAACGAATTGCAGTATATTCCTACAATAATGTAACACTCAGCAATAAAAAGGAACAAGCCACTAATATGCCCCAACAACATAAATGGTTATAAGTGAAAGAAACTAGATACAAAAGAATACACACAATACTAATCCCACTTTTATGAACGGGTAAGACTCGGCTGTGGAGTGGGGATGTGTGTGGCAGGGATTAACTTGGGAAGAGACACAAGGGAACTTTTTGGAAATGTTCTCTAGGGATGTGGGTTACACAGGCACCTGCATTTGTCAGCTTAATGAACTGTACTGTGAATTTCTGTGAATTTCACCACATGTGAATTAGGCCTCAATAAAAGAAAGAAAAAAATAAAACAAAGACAAATAAAAATATCTCCAATATAAATACCTGAATCAATATGCTTTGTTACTGGACCGAAGGAAACCTTTACCATTCCAAGGCAAAAACAAAAGACACACACACAACTTTTAAAAAGTAAAACGGTGAAAACAGGAGCCGTGGTCAGCAAACTGCGGCTCGAGAGCCACGTGCGGCTCTTTGGCCCCTTGAGTGTGGCTCTTCCTAAGCCTTAGGAGTACCCTAATTAAGGTAATAACAATGTACCTACCTATATAGTTTAAGTTTAAAAAATTTGGCTCTCAAAAGAAATTTCAATCGTTGTACTGTTGATATTTGGCTCTGTTGACTAATGAGTTTGCCGACCACTGGACTGAAACATTCCTCAGACTACGAATCAACAATGGGATGCCGAAACCGGTTTGGCTCAGTGGATAGAGCGTCGGCCTGCGGACTGAAAGGTCCCAGGTTCGATTCCGGTCAAGGGCATGTACCTGGGTTGTGGGCACATCCCCAGTAGGAGATGTGCAGGAGGCAGCTGATCGATGTTTCTCTCTCATCGATGTTTCTAACTCTCTATCTCTCTCCCTTTCTCTCTGTAAAAAATCAATAAAATATTTAAAAAAAAAAGAATTATAGGATGATGTGATTTGGGGAGATTATTTCCTTAAAAAAAAAAAAAAAATATTATTTAAAAAAACAAAAAAAACAATGGGACCTAATGTAAACCACCTGAGCTCTCCTGGCCTCGGTTTTCTCATCTACAAAATGGGAGGAAGAGGCCTGAGTGGTGTGGCTCAGTTGGTTGGAGCGTGGTCCTTCCTGTGCAGTAGGGGTGGGTGCAGGAGGCAAACGATCAAAGTTTGTTTTCTTTCTCTCTCTTTCTTTCTCTCTCTCTCTCTCTCTCTCTTTCTCTCTCTCTCCTCCTCCTCCTCCTCTTCCCCCCTCTCTAAAGAAACAAAGAAAAAGATCAATTTAAAAAAATTGTAATGAAATAATTACAGGGTTACATAAAAATTAAGGTTATGCAAATCTAGCATAGTACCTGGCACACTGAACCTTAATAAATGGTGGTGGTAAGAAACAATTAGAAAATGCATGAATAAGGTCCATAAGGTCCATTGTACCTACCTGGCAATGGTTTATAAGTTTAAGAAAGAACCCTTCCAGGGACTCTTACTTGAACATCTTCCCAGAAGCCTACCCTTTTTTTCCTGAAAACCTGCCCCTTCCTGATAACTGATGGCATTCCAGCCACGTGGCTGGTGAGAGGAGGGGCGGGTGGGGGAAGGAGGGAGAGATGCCTTGTTCTTCCGTGGCCCTGGCTTAACACTGTTCCTGTAAATCAAAGTTTTGGATAAGCAAATTATATGTAAAAGTATGAGGAAAACTCTCACTGTTTTTAAAAAAGCCTAAAATTGTTTTATGAAATAAAAAATACTTTTAATAACGATCACCAGTACTTAAGCCAGGTTTCCCATGAACTAGGTTTCCCTAAGGTGGCATTCTTACACCTGCTGGGCAGTTTTCTAACCTTTCACAGGGCCACATATTTCCAAATGCTAAGACATGCACCCCAAGCACCACTTTCCACAAAGAGCATGCTCCCTGGTGGAGAAACCAGCGGAGTGTTCTCCTTTTAGCACGCGGAGACCGCCGGGTTGGCTCTCCGCCAGCAGTGGGCTCAAGTAGATTGATCCTTTGCACAGATCACATCACGAAGTGCATTTGCCTAATGCGGTGCCCTAGATTTTGCAAATCACATTCACTGATGTACGTGCAAGTCTGCAAATCTGAATGTTTGCAAGGAGGACACAAGTCGTTTGTATAAAAGAGTCTGTCTTGATTATCAGTAAGAGCAGGAAAAATTCTGAAGTCTCCTCCTATCTGTTTGCTAAGACAGTCATTTTACATTTCTCTAAAGGATTTCCTGGTTTGTAGCAAAGGTAGGGTTGAGTCAAGACACTGAGGTTCTAACTAGTATCTGCATTCGCACTGAACAATAGTAAACCCCACACATACCAAAGATCTGCCTGAAACCTTTCAAGGCCAAAAAGTTCTATTGTGTGTCCTGGGCACCCACTAAAGGAAAGTTGAAACTATAAATAGCACAGAGAAGACCACAGTCCCTGGGAGAAAATGTTTTGCTTAAAATGGCACAACTACACAATTCGATATAATGATATATATATATATATATATATATATATCCTGAATATCTTTCAACAACAAAAAAACTCTGATAATTAAGAAAATTGTGTTCTCACTAACGAAGTCCTGCATGCTATCTTAACTACCGTGTTTAAGGTATTTCCTCGTGATGCCGTGGTATTATTCACCTGAAAAGCGGCTCAGGTGTAACCCTCCATCAAGATGTCACAAAACCTGAAATTGAAATGCAAGGGGACCCCACTCCACGTTGGCGCAGCCTAGGGGTGCCCACAGAGTACCTGGAGCAGGTACTGGGAGGAGCCTCAGGTTTCCTCACCGCCCCCGAGAATCGTTGCTCCCATACAAACAGCATCTTTAAAAGTTCCAGCCTTAAGAAGGAAATCAGACTTGCCTGCGGTCTGATAAGAAAGGTATAGGGATCACCTGTCGATGAGCAGGAAAATGGGTGTAAAATGGCTTCCCCGGGCTGATCGGAAGGCAGTAAATCAAGTAAATCCCTTCCTAGGACTTTACAACAGACGGGGTGGCGGGGGGAGCCGTCCACGGAGCGACAGAAACCCTCAACCATTTCATCTCGGCCCCGAACGCGAGCAGCCCGAGGCCAGGTGCGGGCAGAGCTGGGGCGCACCGGTGACTAACGTGCCCAGTCACCCCACGGCGCCGTCCAGACCCGTGGGGACACAAAGCCCACCGGGTGTCAGGAGGAAAGGGAGGAAAACACGTGCTCCTCGGATAAGACCCGAGGTCTCCGGCCACCAAGCGCACTTCCATCCGGAACCGCGGCCGCAGCGCGCTCTGTGCCCGTGGCTTTGGGGCGCGCGCCCCCGCCCACCCGGGACCCCGGAACGCCCCCAACTCCCAGCCCTGACCCGAACCCGCCACAGGTTGGCCGAGCCGGGGCAGCCGCGGCCAAGAATTAAGTTTCTAATCATGTAACTTGAGGCGGATTAGCGTTCGGCCTTCGGATCAGACAACCCAAGGCCGAGCCCGGAGCCAACTCGCGGCCTGAACGGCGCGGCGCGGGCCGGGCCCGGGGTCCCCGGCGCCTCCTCCCGCAGGTGCGCCCGCGCGTCCCCACGGCCCTCCGCGCTCACCAGGTACGAGACGCCGAGCAGGATGGTGCCCGTGCGCACATGGCAGCACAGGCAGCAGCTGTTGGAGTAGAACCGCGTCCAGGGCGCGACCATCTTCATCGCTCCGACCGCGGGCAGGGGCGCGAGCGCCGCTCAAGTTTGCGGGACCCTCGGCGCGTCGCTCCGGCCGCCGCGCGGGGCTGCTGCTCCTCGGCTTCTCGGGCTCCGGCTCCGGCTCCGGCTCCGGCCCCCTCGTTGACTCACCCCCCGACCCTGGCTGCGCGCCTCTCCGAAAGCTCCGAGCTACTGCGGCGGCTGGACCCTGCGCTCCGGAGGCGGCGGGAGAAGGAGGGGCGGGCGGAGGCGGGGCGGCCGGGGCCACGTGACCCGCGCCCCAGCCCGTGATGTCACCCTGGGCTCCAGCCGGCGACGGGCGCTGCCAACCGAGTAAATAAATCAATCATCCTGCGCCGCCCGCGGGTCCCGGGTCGGCCGGCCTCGGGGTTCCGGGCCTTCCCCCTCTTTGGGTAACTCCATCAGGGGCTGAGATTCTCTTACAGCCCCCCCAACCCACCCCACCCCACCCCCGGCACCGATCTTGCGGATAATCTGCTGGTGCAGTGCTCTCTCTGTTGGCATCTTGCACACACACAGGAGGAGGGAGAACTGCAGAGTGTGATTCCGGTCAACGGCGGTACTTTGAACCGCTGTGGACGTCGCCAAGAGCAATCTGTCTGCTTCCCAGCTCAGTTACTGCGGTGGCCATCTCTTCCCAGAAAACAGGATGTAAGTCAAGGACACCCTCGCTGTGCCTTGGGCAGCGTTTTTCGTCAGGGCTGCAGCTGTAGTCAAGAAACAGTCATCAAGCCCATTGTTGCCACAAGGGCTCTGCAAGACGCAACAGGGCTTTAAGAGGCACTGAAAGATAGGACGCCGATTTGGGGTTCTTTCCTCCCATCTGGTGTTTTGTTTGTAAGAGCGCCTGTCCTAGGTTACCCCTCCGAGGGATAGGGTGAAGAAAGAAAAATGTACTCGCTTTTGTCAATCAAGCCGGTTGAGGGGTGAGGAAAGGATTCTATTCTTGTTTTAACTATCCTAGGAACTTGAACTTTTGGACTTTCCAGTCCTGCCTCAATGCCTGACACACATCAAACCTCCAGATAACCCTCTGGTTACCCCCGAAGGACTGAGGAAAGGATGTTCAGGTACCCAGGCCACTTGACACCTATGGTCCAAACCACCTGTCTTCCGGAGGGTCACCCTCTGGGACCAGTGCAGAGGCTAAGAATGCAGACTGTTTCTTCTCAAGAATGTACTTTCGGCCCTGGCCGGTTTGGCTCAGTGGATGGAGCGTCGGCCTGCAGACTGAAGGGTCCCGGGTTTGATTCTGGTCAAGGGCATGTACCTTGGTTGCAGGCACATACCCAGTAGAAGATGTGCAGGAGGCAGCTGATCCATGTTTCTCTCTCATCGATGTTTCTAACTCTCTGTCCCTCTCCCTTCCTCTCTGTAAAAAATCAATAAAATATTTTTTTTTTTAAAAAAAAGAATGTACTTTTGCCCCGCAGGTGTGGCTCGGGTTGAGCATGCGCCCATGAACCCGGTTGCCGGTTCCATCCCCAGTCGGGGGGCGTGCAGGATGCAGCAGATCAATAGCTCTAGTCATTGATGTTTCTGCTTCTCTCACTCTCCCTTCCTCTCTCTGAAATCATTAACATATTTTTTTAAAAAAGGAATGTACTTTTTACTAAAAGAACCTTCAGCTTGTCTTTCTTCTTTGGAACACTCTCTATTGCCCAGTTGGTTGCCAGTTTGCAAACCCTGGGACCTTTGAATAAGTCTATCATTTATTTCTAGCAAAGCCTCCCAACTCTTGAGTTTGTTTAACACCTTGAATCACTATTTAAAGCCAAGCAGCTCAGATAAGTTAGATTGTTAGCATGTGTCAAAGTTTCATTTCAAACTTGGAGCAGGAGAAAAACTGGTTGGGTTTAAATTCTTAAGGACAGGCTCTATAGGAAGGAGAGGAATGGTAGATAAGGAAGGTTTCGGTGCAGGACTGGCTAGTTTTACGAGACTGTAAAACGGTCTCATTCTTACTGTGTAGCTTGACCCTGGATCCACAGTGACCCAAGAAGCATTCTCAGAGGTATCAGGTGTGGGCTCTCCATCAGAAATACTAAGCAAGCCCTAACCGGTTTGGCTCAGTGGATAGAGCGTCAGCCTGTGGACTCAAGGGTCCCGGGTTCGATTCTGGTCAAGGGCATGTACCTTGGTTGCAGGCACATCCCCGGTGGGGAGTGTGCAGGAGGCAGCTGATCCATGTTTCTCTCTCATCGATGTTTCTAACTCTCTCTCCCTCTCCCTTCCTCTGTGTAAAAAATCAATAAAATATATTTTTTTAAAAAAAGAAAGAAATACTAAGCAAAATGGTGCTGGGAGTTAGCCAGCAAGACCAAACAGGAACGCTGGCTTTTGTTTTGTTTTCTCACCACAGAGTTCTGTTTTCCTTTACATGAGGGAGAGTTTTTTTCTCTGGAACCTTCCATTTCATATTTGATTATGTCCATAACCATTTTTAACCAGCTATAGGACAAGCATTCGTGCTCTGAGAAGAAATGGACATTGAGAATCAGGATGGGGAGTGCCACTTTCCAAACTCAAACTTCCAGCAAGTTCCCGCTTCGTCTCCCCACCAGAATCTCAGAGTCTTTTAGGCAGATGACTGCCTGGTTCAGGAAATTTTATATTTCAGCATAAGTGTTCTCTCTTGGCCGCGACCAGCACGGCTAGAGAGCGGACACGTCCCGAGTAGGGGCGACTGGGGATTGAGAAAAAGAAAGAGATAGACATAGAGACAGGAGGGAAAGCTGGGACCAGGTGGGACACTGTTCTTGGGTGGAGAGACAGTGACCTAGAGCTAGTGCAGTACCTTTATTAGATACAGCATGATTCCAGGAAGTTTTACTAGAGTTTAAGACAGAGGAAATCATGTGAAATCACGGTTAAAGATCAAGCTGCAATTCTTCATTCTTGTGGCTTCTTTGTAATTGTCACTCCTGGCTGAGCCCGGATAATTGCGTCCGTTCCTGGCGTCTGGCTGAACTTAGTGGTGAAACCCACCCCCTGGCGCCTGAGCTAAAAGGTCAGGCTGACAGCATACCTGCTGCCACTGGACTCAGCTGACAATTAGCTCATGTGCCTCCCCAGGCGCTCTCTACATTTCAGAGAGCTTACTATTCAAGGTGCAAATTTGCAGAAAGATGTCAAATTGCTCTGGATAAGACGAGGGGCAGAAAGTTGAGGAGACGGAGCTGGAGAAAGGAGGTAGGCAGAGCGAAATACTACATCTGTAAGCAAAGTTTATTCCCTAAAACCTAATGGCAGTGGCTTTGGAGTTGCTTTTTTTTTCTTTTTTTTTTCTTTTTGGATGCAAGAGAATATGAGGACTGGCCTTAAAACAAGAACAAAGGCTTCCCAAGGAACTCAGCTGAGTCACTCATTTTCACACAGCGGCAGATTTGAGTGGAATACTGATTGCTCTGGTGCAGCTGTTTAGACAAGTCACCTTGCTTCATCCCTGGGAGCCTCAGCTCTGGGCCTCGCTTCCTCCTTTTCGGTCAGGTTTCCCTGCGATTCGCACGCCCCTCCTCTCCCATTCGTCACTCTGTCACTCCGTCACTCCGCGTGGCTTCATTACCAAATGTTAAACCCTCCTTCCCTTTAGGATGTGAGGGCTTGCAACCTCTCTGCACCCAGGTCCTTTCCTTTGTCTTCCTATCCTCCAGTCTCTCTCTCCCTGCATCTTCCTCGCTCAGATATTTTCTAATGAGTTGGAGAAAGTTTTCCTTCCTGTCAGAGAGAGCCACGCTCCTTCCTTTTTCACATTTCTTATTTTCTAGGAGTTCTTGTATGTCAGTCTATCTGTTAGACATCCAGATTACCCAATGTTAATTTGAGTCGCAACTGTGAGACATAAAGACTTAAAGGCTACACAGATTAGAACCTTCTGCTCCTGCTCTCCAAGTTTATCATGGACGCTTGTGCCCAAGTCATTATGATGTTACTCAGAACGTGTGCCCAGGATCCTTACAGGTGGGAAAAAAAAAAATGCCGTGGGAAAGCAGCGGGACTAATTACATTAAAACTGTAGGGAGTTGGCATCAGCTGGGCCCTGTACAGGGTGAATAGGAGAATAGACCAGGAAAGGTGAAGGCAGAGACACTTGCTCCAGGAGTTGCATAAAGGCACACAGTCCTGGGCTAAGGAGGTCTCCTCACTGAAGCCTCTTGGGCAAGGCTCTGCCCCAGGAGAGACCTCAGGCCCCTCTCAAAGGCTGAGAAAGTCCAAGGGTTACCATCTAGCTCTCCTGGAAAGGGAAAATGCGTTGGGAAGGAATAATACGTTGGAAAGGAATAATACACTGGAAAGGAATCCAAGTGTCTATGCCAGAGGGTGCTGCAATAATGACAATACTGCTCTCCTAGGTAAGACAAAAAACAAACACAAACCTTATAGGGCTCCTCATGCATTCTCCAAACAAACCAGGGACTTGTGCATCCATCCATTAGTGCATCTGGTGAATGGGGACTTACTGAGTGCCTCCTTGAAGCTGAGCATGGATGCCACCTCAGAGAACATGAAGAAGTGTCTACCTATAAGGAGTTCACAATTTAATGAGGGAGACAGAGAAGTAGACAGAAAGTAACATACTTGCAAGACAAGTGCTACTGCATATTTAGCACAGGGTGCTGTGAGAGCCCCATATCTCAGCTTTGGAGAAATCAGAGAGGGCTTCCCAGAGGTGGTGACATCTAAGCTCAGACCTGTAGGATACGTTGGAGTTGGCCAGGGAGAGAGACAGAACTCCACCCCAGGGAGGATGGAGCAGCATATGCAGTTGGTGAGGCTTAGAGACAGCAAGTAGAACAATAGCTGGGAGTTCACATGACATGTAAAGGGAAGAGGGGCAGAGTAGAGTGAGATAGGCCTAAGAAGGTTTTAGGGGTGTCAACGTAGGCGCAGGAGGTAACAGCAGACAAAAAGCTTTTCATGCCATGCTGCACTGAGAGGTTTAGAATGTATTTCCTGAGGAAAATGGGAAACTTCTGAGCTACTGGGGGCTTTACAAATATTAAACTCACATGACTGGATGATAAATTAACATCACAAGCTTAAGGTATAGGCAAATGAGATCGGCAGGACTAGCTGCATAATTTGCAGAGCCCAGTGAAGACTGGAAATGTGTGCCCCTCTTGTTGTGGACCCTGAGGAAGAAGACACCTCAGAAGGGCTCTCAGCTAACTGGGCTCAAATTTTGAAAACGGAGCCTGTCAGCCATTTCTACAAA